AAAGGCCCGTCGGTACACTAGACCGGTTAGGCCGGTAATGATAACGACGCGGAACACAATCGATATCTATAGGTAACAGTATTAAACAAATACGCGGCGGTTTTCAGCGACCGGGTCGGCAAAACCAAGCTCATTGAGCATGACATCATATTGTGCGTGCCGTCGTTCAATCGTAACGATGGTTAAGATTTTTAGGATAATACTCCAAATAAAAATACTCAACTATTATTGAGTTTATTGAATTTACATCATATTTTTGGCCTCAGTCAGGGACAATTCCCCTTCCTGGCGACCTTACACGTTTGTACATGATCGAAACTTATGGTCTCCTAGGTTTCGCTTTCAGTGTACAACATAAATAATAATAACACGTTGACATGTGTGCTACACGCGTTCTCGCTGTCTCTGCCTCTCCTCTTCCTCCTTTTTCTGCATCACTTGGTGGTTGAAGTCCGCTACGATATTCCACCTTTTGGTGGATTCCATCATCACCCCGACCATCGTTTCCGCCGTGATGTCCTCGCCAATCAGTGTGTTCATAATTCTTCTTCTTTCGTACCACGCATCGCATTCGAAAAGTGTATGGTGGGCGTCGTCTGTATGTTAGCCGCAGAACATAGGTGATGGTAGCTTACCGAATCGATGTAGGTATCCCGAAAAGCATCCATGTCCAGTGAGGGCTTGTGTTAGGTGGTAATCTACCATACCACTCGTTCTTTTGTGCCATCTCTTAATGTTTGGTATTAGTCTATGAGTCCACCTTCCGTTGTCAGCCTGTTCCCATCTTGATTGCCATGCTTGTATCATTTTATTTTCTGCTTCTATTTTTCCTTCTGTCGTCTTCATGCTGCTCCTGTATTCCGCTACCAGATCTGGGGGTGGCATTCCGGATAGGACGTCCACCGCCGATTTTGAAACGGTTCTGTATGCCGCTATAACTCTGAGGCCGATTTTCCTATTACTTTTTCCTATTTCGGTCCATCCATTGCATCCCATGTGCTTGGCCCAAACTGGTGCGCCATAAAGCATAATGCTCTGCGTAACGCTTGTTAGAAGTCTTCTGTGCGATTTTTCTCCACCTGTGTTCGGCATGATTCGCGTGAGCATTGTGGTCACGTCATCCGCTCTTCTGGACACTATACGTGCATGTTCAATAAAATTCAATTTTCCGTCCAAGTTCAGGCCGAGGTATTTCACGTTTTTTTTGGATTGGATTGTGTGTCTCCTTATCATTATCGTTATTTCGTTGTGTTTCCATCTCTTTATGAATAGGATTATTTCTGACTTTTGGATCGCCAGTTCGATTCCGGTTTCTTCTAGCCATTGCAGGCCCTTCTCAGCTGCTTCTTTTAGTAGTCTTTCTATTTTCGCCTTGTCATTTCCTGTTGCAGTGATAGCGACGTCATCGGCGTACGCTATCAGTTCAACTCCTTCGGGCATAGGCTCGGAGAGAAGGCTGTCGTATAGGACGTTCCACATTGTAGGTCCCAGCACAGATCCTTGTGAGACACCTGCCGATAGTGCTTTCATTACTTCTTTGCCTGCTATCTCGTACATTAGTTTTCTGTCGTGGAAGTAACTGTCCAGTAGCTTGCATAGGTACGTCGGTAGTCTTTTGCCGGTGGCTGCATCGATGATACTGGACCAGGGTGCCGAATTAAAGGCGTTTCGGACGTCTAGTGTCAGTAGTCCAGTCATTAGCCTTCCTGTGTGACTACCCACTATATCCTTCAGTCTGATAGCCGCGTCCACTGCGGAACGGCCTTTGCGGAATCCGTATTGGTTGTTAGCTATGCTATTATTTCATTCTAGGTGGTCTCTAATTCTAGTGTCCATGATCTTTTCGAATAAATTCGCAATAGTGTTCAACAAACATAGTGGGCGATATGAGGACGGGTCTTCAAGCGGCTTGTTTCCTTTTTTTACTAATACCAGTTTTGCCGTTTTCCAATTGGTAGGGAAACTAGCCTCTGTAACGCATCTATTATATATGTCTAGTATCAGTCCCGGTCTTAGATCGACAACTCTCTTTAGTATCTCGTTTGGTACTCCATCTATTCCCGGTGCTTTATTTGACTTGAGTGTCTTCGTTGCTCGCTTCAGCTCCACGTCTGTTATCATCGGGGTAGGGATTTCTCCTTCCGGCCATATCACTACATCTCTGGTGAGATGTGTTGGGAATAGCTCTTTGATAATGGATTATACTCTCCCTGGTGTATCAATGCCTGGTATCGGGATCTTCTTGCACAATTTTCCTATAACGAGTTTATAAGGTTTGCCCCACGGGTCGGACTCCACCATGCAGCAGAGCTCGCGCCATGACTTTTCTTTTGACTTTTTGATGGCCTTCGTCAGTTCGAGTTGGGCTTTCTTCAGTTCCTCTTTCTCTGCTATGCATTCACCATCTCCTGAGCGTTTCCGTTTCCGCGTATAGATGCGACGTAGGCGATTACTTGTTTCTCTCAAGCGTTTGATCTCTGGCGTCCACCAGTGCACAGATTTTCTCTTGGAGGTTACTTTCGTTCTTGGTGCTACTTCATCCAAGATTCCGGTTAGTGCGCGGTTAAGTGCCTCTGCACTTTCGTTTGCTGTTGCGCCTATATCAATTTCGCAGCTTAGTACAATTCTCTCGAGTTTCTTTCCGTCTATATTCCTGGTATTTCGGCGTGTGATTTCCTTGTATGGGCTTGGTGCATTGTTCTCAATATTATACTCAATATAGCTATGGTCGCTATGGGAATATTCCTCCAGAACTCTCCAGTTGGTGACCCTTTCTGCCAGATTAGCTGATGCCATTGTCACGTCAATATGCGACTCTGAGTCACCTCGCTGCCAGGTGGGTTTATTGCCTTGATTACACACCATCAGCCCTAGAGCGTTTGCAAATTCAAACAGGGATTCTCCTTTGTTATCGTTGGCTCTGGATCCCCATGCTCGATGTTTGGCATTGAAGTCCCCAGCTACAATGACGTCGCAGGATGTGGATCTGATGCTCAATTCGAGTCTAGTCAACCAATATTCGTACTCCCTTATACTGACGTTTGGGTTGATATAACATGCGTATATCCTTATTTTCCGGACAGTGATCCAGGATCCTGCATCACCTATCTCGTTGATTGGGATGTCGTTGCAGTTGACTATGGCAGCTCTGATGGTTTTGTCGCAATACCAGCCATGGGCTTCGTTCGTGTTTTGTTCGTACTTGTAGTATTCGCTCACAATTAATAGATCGATCTTGTCTTCGCGTGCTTTTTGGAGTGCTAGGTCTTGAGCAGCACTCTTTTCTGCCAGGTTTATTTGCAGGACTCTTATCATTTTGTCCCTTGTGACTGTTCGGACTGGGGTGTGATTCCCGCAAACTTGGATTTCCACACGATACATGTACCCGGCGTGCAAAACGAGGGACCAGACATATTATCACGGAACCCTGCCTCAGACCCACCCGTAGATGAGGATCAGCTTGAGGAGCGCTTAGTAGGGGTACCCACTTCACCACCCACCTACACTACTAACCCCCTCGCTGATAACATCTTCACCACAATCGAAACGGTTGACGTACTTGCCGACCTCCCGTTTTCCACCACAACACTCGCGTCTTGGCAATCCAATGACCCCCAGACGCGAGTCATCATCAACAAAATTTAGTCGGACACCCCTGCACGTAACACCAGAAGCGCCACGAAAGATACGGACACTTTTGTCCTATCGGATGGCCTCCTACGGCAAAACGTTAAGGGCCACTTATCAATCGTGATACCCAAAACCCAATCCCAACAGGTGATCTGGAGGTATCACGACCACAACACGGCTAGTCATCCAGGGTGGAGGAAACTTACCGGGCAGTCAGGGACCGTTTCTATTAGAAGGGGCTCAAAAACGACGTGAAGCTGTATGTCAAGTCATGTCACATATGTGCATGTACTAAACCACTGAACTCACGGTCGAATGACCCCACCAACTCCAGGAAACCACGACACCCCTGGGAGGTTATCAGTATTTATTTTTATTTTTTTTTTTAAATAGAATCCATTTATTACATAAATATAAAAATTACATAATAAACTTATAGATTATCTGCCTTCTAAAAGCAATGCTTGTGTTGAAAGTAGAGAGGGACAAATTACTTATAGATAGTAATTAAATAATATAAATACATACAAAAGAATAATACTTAAAATAGAGTAAAACAT